GGAAAGTCTCCTTAAATATGGCACCAGGATGCTACTTATATTTAATAGGGTTTCCATTCCTTCTATCAGCTTCAGAGATAAGTATTTTAGCCCAATGTAGCTTTGCCATTGATAAGTCTGCCAAAGCCTCTGTTGAATCTACAGTTTCACATTTACCACTTCTCTGCATTACATGTTTTATAAATTTATCAACTGCTTTGCTGTCCTTCTACTTCTCTTTTTTCATGTTTCGGTGTTTGACACTACCATTCTACTAATCCGAGTCTGTGTTTGCCTCCAATTTGTTTTATTAAAAATGGTTTAGATGTTGAATGTGTTATTTGTGCAGTAACCGTCACCATTATTGACTACATATTTCCAGCTCACTGACTTCTGGATACACGGTAGGGTTGTTCCCATAATTTTCTTTGGTGGGCAGACCCATGTGACTAATTCTGGCCAATGACTTGGGAGCAGAAGTGAGAAGTGTCACTTCCAAGTTGAAGTACTCAAATGCCATTTGCAAACTCCTTTGCCCTCCTAGGGTGCTGTGAATGCAGCACTGAGGGCGCTGCTTCACCAGCCTGTATCCTTGGGTCAGTGGTCAGCAAACTCATTAGTCAACAGAGCCAAATATCATAGTTCAACGATTGAAATTTCTTTTGAGAGCCAAATTTTTTAAACTTAAACTATATAGGTAGGTACATTGTTATTAACTTAATTAGAGTATGCCCAAGGCTTAGGAAGAGCCACACTCAAGGGGCCAAAGAGCCGCATGTGGCTCGAGAGCCGCAGTTTGCCAACCACGGCCCTGGGTGATCACAATGAGCACAGCACCACTGCTGACCTGCAGTTTGAGCAAGAAAGGCACCTTCAGTGCTTCAGGGCCCTGGAGATTTTAACCTAGTGACTTCAGCCTCACCTCACTTGCGGTCATTGCTACCCTTAAATTTCATACTTGGTGAAGAAGATATGGAGAAGATTGGTGTTTTCCCTTCAGCAGGTCCCTCCCCCTGTATCCTCTTGAAGGTAGCTTTCCAAGTATTTTCTGGAATCCCCACTGTCTTCTGAAGTGGTACTTTGGGTGAAGTGTGAATTATATGTGAATCACAGGCCTATTCCACCACTTGGCAGATGCCAAGGATAATAAGTTGTTTCTTCGGTCATGATTATTTAGCTGAAGGAGACCAGAAAATGGACTGTGTGGGTCAGCAGCAGAGGGGGGTGGGGGATGACAGAACAAAGGATAAATGAGATTTGCTAAGACAGTACACTCTCACTGGACAGAAAAGTAAATTTAACTTGCTTCAGCGGGTCCAGTCTCCCAGCAAGCACACATTATTTCACTTGATTCTTTATCATGCAAGGTTTTGTCCTTCTCACCACACTTTTCTATAGATTCCAGTTTATTCTACTCCTTTCATAGCCAAAGACTCTCCCAAACGTTGCATATTATATTAACTGGTAAACAGACTGTGACCATTCTGAGGATAAGGTTAGGAGTTGCTTATTCCCATAGCTCATGCTGGTCAGCTGTCATGGGACTGGAGTTACAAGCTGTGTGCTTCACTGGTGAATAAGAGATGGCAGAGTAATGAATGAACTGTGTCTGTAAAACCTCCTAAGCCTGCCCAGCTCCTCCTCTTTCCAAATATCTTTTGCTCTCTTTCTTCCTCAGCTGGTTAAAGGAAAATGTTTCTGACGAAAATGCCCAGGGACTAAGAGTCAAACAGTATTGCAGTCTAGACTCAACTCTTCAAATATTAACTGGGTAAACTGAGGTATATCCTGTAAGGTCCATGTTCCTTCCCTAGCAGATACCAGCACTAACACCTGAAAGATTCGGAGTTAGAAAAACAAAACAAAACAATAAAAATATGCAATTGTACCAATATAAATTGTGCAATGCATAGATAATATACGTAAAACACATACATGACCATTGACCTGATGAAAACAAACACTTCTGTAAGTGGCATGGAAAACATTTAAAATATTGTCAACAGTTTGACACTCATTTATGTGAGTAGAGAAGTACATGGTTTTAATTGAAATGATTCTTGTATGCAAGGTGACTTTTATTTAGTTTTATCTCCGTGTATAATTTATTTCCTGCAAACGATGTGTTCTTCATTGCATGTCCTTTGACACAAGTTAAATACATGAAACATACCTTTTGCTGTTGGATGATTTTTTCATAGCCTGCTTAATTTGGTCAATGACACAGATAAAGCCAATGAAGCAATGTTATAAATGAAAACAAATAAAATTCTGGGAAGTTCATCATATTCATAAGGGACTATCTAGAAGTATGACATTCTGATGAACTTTATTTTCTTGTTTAGTTATTTATGTTACTCGAGGAAAAAAAACATTCTCAGGGATAAGAAATCTATATCACTCCACCTGGTTGAAAAAGAAAAGTCTTTCTCTGGCAAATACATATTCCCTTTTGTCCACATGATGGACCCCACAACACAGAGCAATTCCTTAATTACCTCTGATAAGTATTTCCTATTTGAATTAAAACATTTTCCTATAAATATAAGTGTGTACATGTACACATCTACATAACATGATAAACATATTTTATACATACATGATTACTACTATCTACATATTTCATATATATTTACACATTTCTGTATGTGTACATGTGTTCATTTCATAATCAAAACATTTATGATTGACCTCCTCTGAAAATCCAGGGTCAAATCCCTATAAAGACCTTACAAATTAAATGAGAAGAACAAGGTAAAGTGGGAACTGGGTGTCGCAACAATGTAGAGAACCCGGAGGAAAAGCATTCTTCAGTCTGTGTTAGAAATCCGCTCTTCCTGTAAACCCGGAGCATAATGAAAGATACCCAGTGCCCAGGGAAAAGAACAGCCTAATATAGAGAACAAAGCTGTTTTTGATGTAATTGTATGATGATCTTGTTTTTCTGCATGGTTTGCCAAATGGAAACGTTAGAGAGGCTGAGCTTGCACAGATCCCAGGTGCTCAGCCACAGGTAACTGACAGTCCTCCAGCAAAGAAGTTCATCCGCAGGGCAGTCCACTCTGTGACCAAGCAGAGGTTTCCAGAAGGGACTCTCAACTTCAAAACAAAGCCACCTGACCCTGCTTAACTGCTGAAAGAATCAAACGCATCATTTCTGTGACTCAGTGGATTAAATTAAATTCTATAAATATAAAAGGAAACACATATAATAATTTAGCAGAATCATGGTCAGGAAGCATTTAATTAGACTTAAAAGTAACATAAATAAATACTAAATTGATGATTAGAATATTAAAAATAAGGCAAGGTGACCAGATCATAATAGGAGTGAGCCCAGGCTAGTGTGGCTCAGTTGGTTGGAATGTTCTCCCATGCACCAAAGGGTTGTGGGTACCATTCCTGGTCAGGGCACATACCCAGGTTTCAGGTTCAATCCCCCGTCAGGGTGCATGCAGGAGGCAAGTGATCCATGTTTCTCTCTCACATCCATCTCTCTCTCTCTCTCTCTCTCTCTCTCTCTCTCTCTCTCTCTCTTTCCTTGCTAGTGTTCCCTCTCTCCCTCTCAGGAATGAAAGCACATCCTTGGGTTAGGATTTAAATAAAAATTATATATATAAAAGCCTAAGCTACCAGCCAATTAGCCAGTAGCTATGATGCGCACTGACCACCAGGGGGTAGACGCTCAACGCACAGGCATGGAAACATGGAACAGACTGATGAATCTCAGGGGGAAGAGAGAAGGGGGGAGGGCAGGAAGAGATTAACCAAAAATCTTATATGCATACTGGGGTCCCTTGGCCTGGCCTACAGGGATCGGGCCGAAACCAGCTCTCCAACATCCCCCGAGGGGTCCCGGATTGTGAGAGGGCACAGGCCAGGCCTAGGGACCCCACTGGTGCACGAACCCATGCACCGGGCCTCTAGTAATAATAATAATAGGAGTGTGGTGATAACTTTTCATAATTTGCTCAAAAATATAAGCAAAGCCAAGCAAATTGAGCTGGGTTTTCTACTTTAAACTGAACAGAGTTTTACTTTGACTTTAAAACCTTACCTTATACTCTTACTACCTAAATAAAGCTCTTTGCCCCATGTTGGGGTTAAATATTCTGAGACCCAGAATTCCCTGCATCTGTCTAGTACACGTGTCAGCCCAAGTAGCCGGTCAGCTGATGTCCTACACCTGAAACAGGGGTCAGCCAATTCATTACTTAAGTTGTGGTTGCACTTTGTTTCAACTATATAATGTATTATTTTAGAAGAACTACATTTGCCAATCAATAAATATTCATAAAGTAGCTATTCTGTGAAAACCACAAGGCATGGGTTGGGGAAGGGGTGGGCGGCATAGGGAGGAATAAGGTGGAATCTAGCAGTTAATAAAATACTTGTATATGAATCTCACCACAACGTATAACTTGTACATGTCTGCTTCTTTTAAGCTCTGTCTATAACAAATTTTAAAAACTGGGCATGACTTTTCTAAGCTATCACAGGAAAGTTTTTAATTGTAAAAAGTATTTGATGTACTAATTATTTGACCTATTTTGTAGCATTTAGTATGTAAAGTCAGGTCATGCTTAAAAATAATTATTTCTACCCGACTGGTGTGGCTCAGTGGTTGAGCTTCGACCTATGAACCAGGAGGTCACAGTTCTCTTCCCCATCAAGGCACATGCCCAGGTTGTCGGCTAGATCACCAGTGTGGGCATGCAGGAGGCAGCTGATCAATGATTCTCTCTCATCATTGATGTTTCTCTCTCTCTCTCTCTCTCTCTCTCTCTCTCTCTCTCTCTCTCTCTCTTCCTCTCTGAAATCAATAAAAATATATTTTAAAAAATAATTATTATTACTTCTTCATATTCTGGAATAAAGGCATCCTATTAAAACTTATTTATATAATTCACAAGCATACTATTGGGAATGCCTTGGTAAATGCAATACATATTTCTCAGCACATTTGTTTATAGTCAGTATGACAGTTTTGGTGGCACCCACTATGACACTGCTTCTTTCAGATATCGGAGCTACTGATCCACAAGCTCAACCAGAACTCGGTGCACTTTGAGCTGAAACCCGGGATCCAAGTCCTCGTCCACGCAGCACACTTAACAGCAGGTCAGTTTGCATGTCCCCTGTCTTTCCTTGTGGCTCTAGTAAAGGGGATTCTCAATCTATCCTTTTATCATAACAAAACTAGATGGTGCTTCTCCTTATCAGAAAGGCAACAGAATAAAGTGCATTTTCTTAGTCCTGGCGAAAACCAATAATGATTCACCTAAATACATACTCCTCAAATAATAGCAAGTTTCATCTGAACAGAAATCTTAAAAATAAAGTTAATTCTACAAATAACATTTTTTCCCGGTCTTTCTGCAAAACCTTATTTTCAAATTATTCATGTTACAAATATTTTTTTAAAGTTTTGAGATACAGTAGTCAGTGGAAATACCTGGGACTTAGCAATTGTACAGGGCTGTCGCCAGGAATTGAATCCCAAGTTGGTCATGATCTTACAAATTAACTAATGTCATTGAGTTTCTGTCTCTTCACCTATAGAAGGTAGGAGACATAAACCCTCTTCCTAAGGCTATATAGAAGTCTCAATGATAATGCAGGTAATCCCATGTAAATAGAAATAGCTATTATTGGTTGTATCAATACTAAATTAAATTAATATTTATTGAGTACTTATTTTTGCAAATTACTTTGCTGGTACAGTAGGAAATGATCTTTGTCCTCAAAATACATATGATCTGGTTGTGATGGGGCAAAGTTTTCTGTAGCAGTGGTGGTGGTGCTCTGAAGTGGGGGGATGGGCAGTGGTGGGGTATCTCAGTGAGTAATGTGCCTACATGCTCAGGTAGGGAGGCAAAAGGGCATACTTAAGCACTTAGAGTTGTCAATCTTGCAGCCAGACCAATGGTTTTCATCTTGGCCCCATCACTGACTCACTATATAGAACTTGAGAAGAGACTTCATTTCTCTGGGCCTTAGAGATGGCAGTAGCACCTACGTCAGTGGGATTGTGTGAGGATTGCGTTAATTTAAGTAATGCACTTAGAGTAATGTCTGGCAGATAGTAAGCTATTGTGTGTGTTTTTGTTTTTACTCCTTATATTATTAACAAAGATGTATAGGAAATGTAAGTCAGAAATAAATTATACCCAGTCAGAATGATACAGGAAAGGATCTTGGAGGACGTGGATGGATGGTTAGGATTAAATGCCAGAGATATTCCAAGCACCAAAGCACCAAGGAAGGAACATGGAATAAGTAGGGACAAAGAGCAAGAGTTTCCAACTTTAGTCTCTGGTTTCCTGGAGACTCTGGAGGTGTGCCTAGGTCTATAGGAAGGCCAAGAAGGTTGGCCTCTTTTCTCTTTATATTGTATTTTTTCCTTTTATTATGATTTCATAATTTTTTGTTATAAAATAATCCCTCTGTCTTAAAAGAATGAATATTTAAAAGTCACTATTCCTGCCCATCTGGTGTGGCTCAGTGGTTGAGCGTTGAACTATGAACCAGGAGGTCACAGATTGATTCCCAGTCAGGGACGGATTGATTCCTAGTCAGGGCACAGGCCCAGGTTGTGTGCAGGAGGCAGCCAATCAATGACTCTCTCTCTCATCATTGATGTTTCTCTCTCTTTCTCCCTCTCCCTTCCTCTCTGAAATCAATAAAAACAATTTTTAAGTCAATCTTCCTAAGCATGGGATATGGAGGTAGAGTGTGGAACTCCGCCAGGCTTGGCAGTGTGTACTTCCTTTGCTGGGCTTCGGGAAGGCTAAGAGACCTTTGAGCAGAGGTATGGCTGATTCTGAGAGTCACTTGAGGAAGATGACTCATAAGAGGAAGGAGGACTGAGTCAGGTTGATTTGTTATTCTACAGCTTGCTATCCTAATGCAGCCATTGAACAGACATTTATTGAGTGCCTGCCTGCTCTGAGCCAAGCAGTGTTCTCTGAATGGAATAGTCTCTGCCTTCATGAAGCTTCCATCACAAGGGAAAGCTGGGCAGGAAGCAAATTAACAAATGTCATGTTTTGAATTATATTGCTGATGAAAATGCCCTGAAGAAATAAGGTGTAAGAAATCAGAACTGTTAAGTAGCCCCTACTAGAGCAACCCCTTAGCTAAGGGTCTGCCTACTTATCTCAGGGCATTTGGTGATCTAAATTGGCAGTTTCCTACTTAGAAGGTTGACCTTTGGCCTTTGGTGAATAGTGGTAACTGACACATGACTGTTACACATAGCTGGTTAAAGCAAATGAACAATGTCCAGAAACATCATGCTAATAGCCATGCCACTGACAACTTTTGTCAAATCAGTAGAAAATAACTAATTGAAATAGTTTTAAATGGGTTTACTGCACTGACCTGTGTGCTCAGTGGTTAGAGTGTTAGCCTGCAGACCAAAGATCATGGTTTTGATTCCCAGTCAAGAGCACATACCTGGGTTGAGGGTTCACTCCTTAGCCCCAGTAGGGGCACATGTGGGTAACCAACCTATGTGTCTCTCTCACATCAATGTTTTTCTCTCTTTCTCTTCCTTTCCCTCCCTCCTTTCTATTGTCTCTAAAAATCAATGGAAAAATATCCTTGGGTTAGGATTAACCGGAAAACAAAAGGTTATTTGTTTATTTAATTTAAATGATGGTCCAATCTGTTCAGGGGGAAGACTGAACCTCATCTACTTCATCGCTTGGGAGGCAAAATTTGCTTTACAGCATGCTCACCTTCTAAATAAGCACTGTCTTCAGGCAGTATATTTTGCTTTCAGCTGGGTGCCTTGATTTCTTAGGAAACACTCCCCTGTTATTTACCAGGGGCCTTTGTTAGAAAGGGGAGCATCACAGATCAGAATAGAGACCTAACCTACTTTCCCAGTCTATCATTCTGGAGGCCACTAACATTTCATTCGTTTCTTCTCCCAAACCTCTCGTCTATCAGTTATGTTATGTGCCTGGTTTTTATTGACCTCATTCACATCACATTCCAAAGATGGTCAGATGGTCAGATCATGTTGCTGAATTTGAAATCTTACCTCAAATGTTTCTTAAGGATGCTTTCCTATAATGACATCTGGTATAAAGCTGGGATCAAGCTGAAAAATAAGAATAAAAAAGCAGGTATTTAATTGAAACTGGTTTGGCCAGTGGCTTGGCCAGAGAAAGGGATACAGCAAAGTCATCCATGAATCCATGTGGGAGAAAAAGCCCATTCCCCATAGCAATGACAGGTTTATTGTTATTGGTTTAAGCTCCAGGTGGCAAGGAATAATGCAAAATTCAGAAGATCTGGAAAATTTCCCTAATTAATGTTCAGAGTTTATTCCATAGTGGGGAATTTGGAGAGCAGGACTCAGATCTCTGGGAAGAAGGACCGGCCAAAGGGAGGGATATTTCTGGGAGCTCAGGTAAGCACACTGAGATTTGAATGAGAGCCCCCTGCAGTTTAGATATGTATGATGTGAGGTTGCCAAAGAATAAGACAATAACAATATAGTTCAAGGCAGAAGCCCAATCTTAAACGGGGCCAATTTGGATAGAGTGAGAAAAAAATTTGATTTCCAACCATTGTGGCTGTTCGAGGCTCTTCCCTGTTAGATTTAATAGTAGGACCTTTTGGCGTTGTAATTCCCAACCCAATCAACTGGCTTATTGAGCTTCCTGTTAGGACTGGCTCAGGGGCTGGAGTAGATGTAGACGTGTATTGGAATAACTAGCTCTAGTTAGAAGAGCAAAGGAAAAGAATGTGAAGGGCTGACTCAATAACTTGGTCTTGGAAACTTCTGTTATGTTGAGTTTAGCCATGCTTGTCATAATAGTGTTAGAACTGGTGGTACCCACAGGTACCAGCTCACTCAGCCAGACTTCTATATACTAAAGACAATGTTTGTGTTAAGATTAGTATTTCAGTAATTGTGATAAAGAAGTAAAATATATGTGGGCCAAGTTGTCTGTTGGAGATTGTTACTAAGTTAGCTGCAACTGTATGATTTTTTTTTAAAACCATTTGAACAGGGTGGTAGAGTATATCTACTGAGACAGTGGAGGAAGTTCCTTTGCACATAGAAAGCTTGGCATGTGGGGTGGGGGAGTCAGTGCATTGAGACACTTGCCACAATTTCTTTTATTAAGTTAAAATGAACACATTCCTATTTATGGGTATGAAGAAACCTGGGGAAAAGAAAAAACAACGAGGAAGAGTATTTGATGCAGATCTTTCACCTCAGCTACCTTTCCCTTCTTCTTTTCCTCCTGCGCAGGCAGAAGAAAATACAATTTTTTTTTCAAAAAAGGAAAAAAGGCCACTGTTTGCAACATTTCATGTCTCATAAGCAGGATTGCTAATACCTTCCCAGGGACCATTACAGCACACTGCTGCATTCCATTAATTGCTCAGCAGATGTTCAGCAGCCTTCTTTTAAAAATGTTTGAGCCAGAATATGTTGCTGGTGAAAGAGGCAATGCATAATTTGGTTTGTCTCCAAGGAAAAAGAACTGTCTCCTTTCAGGAATTTACTATCCTTATTTTGTGTCTCAAATTCAGCTCCCTGTTAAGTTTTATGCGAACACAAGGTAAGCATTTCCAGATACCTGGGTGTCATTAGAGATTGGATTGAGTTCGTTTCCCACCCCCGCTCTCATGGTCTATTGGGGAATTCATTAACTTTGATATCTAAGCTGAGCTAAACTTTGTTTTAGCAGTCCTTGTTTATTCTCAGCCTTTCCTCTGCTTCTCCATTTCTGTGCAATTACTCTTGAGGCCATACCACTCCTGACAGATATGTTTCTGAAATTCTCTGCAGAAAGGAGAGATGTGAAAATGTGTGAGAACGGGGAGAGAATGAGAAGGTGTCGGGAAGTTTGAGGGAGGGCCATGCCAGGGTGGTTCTCTTTGGCTTTTAGAACCTGATGGTAGCTGGCATCGATGTTTAGCAGAAAAAGGCTAGGATGTTACAAAACAACCCAGGGAGTTGGAAAAGGGAGTAGACATCTATCAAGCTGGATGTTGGACTGGACACACTGGTGTTTTGACTGAAGTGTACCTTTCCTCATTCTACTCCCAACTGGACTATTTCTCCCCCTTCTCCATCTGTCTACACCTCCTAA